ACTGGACCAGAAGACTGAAATGCTGGATCTTGTAGAAAAAAAATGGGATTGTCTTCCAAAAATTTGGAGTATGGTTTTTTTGCAGAGGACACAAGAGTGCACAGGCTTGGAAGAAAAAAGAAAATAACATATGAAGGCAAAGCCTTTTTTTGTAGCAAAATACATTCAGTTGAATACTAATTGGTTGTGAGTCTGTGGGGGATGATAGATAGGGAGAATCTGGAAGAGGAAAGGGCCAAGATAGGGAAATTCCCTGCTGCAGGGCAGACCCCTGGACAGTGTTTGCTCCAAATGAACGTAGGGCTTCAGCTCAGTGTCCACCACGGCCCACACTCTGCCTCTTAGGATTGAGCAGGACTGCAGTGACTCCACTGAGAGTTTCCAGAGTTGCAATCCCGCTGGAGTCCTCTTTATGTTTGAGAGCTAGGAGGAAGCTGCTGCCTGGAAGGAGTTTAAACTCATTGCGTGTTTGGAGATACGAGTGTAGTTCCAAGCTCTGCTGTGTGTTAGGGCCAGGGTTAATGTTAGAGCTAGGAAACTGAGCACTTTCAGAACTGAAATACCCTCCTTCTTTCTGTCCTGACTTGCTGGATAGTCTTTCTGGATGGACCCTGGACCTGAATTGTCAGTAACATCATCTCCATTCTTGTTTCTGGCCCTGTCTCCTGGATGGACCTCAGATTCACATTATGGGTGGCCCTTTTTCCTGAATGGATCCTAGACTTGTTTGGGATATGATATTCCCAGGTCCTCCATGTCATGTCTCTGCCAGCTCCATAACTGCCCTGGCTCTGTTCCGTGATCTAGCTCCGACTTGCTCATGCCATGTCCCTGCCCTGATTTTGCGACCTTGTCATGGCCTTCTATGTCTGTCTTAGGTCCACGTTTTCATCCCACCTCATGACATGTCCTTGCCCTGGCTCTGCATCACCCTGAAGTAGCCCTGTGATGACTCTTCTCTGGCCTGGGCCAACAAAAGCAAGTAGCAACAAAAGCATTTCACAGGGAGTGCACCTCTGAAGCCAGATCTTTTCAAGGTGAGAGGACACACCTTGATGGAAGAAGAAGCTGTTGTCAATGCCCCTCAGTGCACTAGTAGCCCCATAATTACTCTGGCTAACCTCAGCTGTGGCCCCCACCCACACACCCTCCGGCCACCAACCTGTGGGCTCTATGTGAACTTAGGCCTGGAGATCCAGACATCATCTGGGCTATGCTATAGCTGTGCATGTCCAGTACTGTCCCCTGTTGTCCTGACATACGGGCTGGTCTTCCTGCACAGACAGTGAACCGATGCTATGGGTAGCATCATCTTCAGTCCTGCCTCCTGGATCAACCTTGGATACAAGTAGTGTAGTCCTGGGCTTGGCTCTGCCCTGTCTGCTCTGCCCTGTCCCTGTCTGGGACTGTTGCTGGATCCAGCCACAACAACATGGTTGTTCCCATTCAGAAACTGAATAGCAGTGAGGTTCCATGAAGAGTCCAATCTCTAGAAAAGTCCATAGTGATGAGGCAGATCCAAGGTTAAGCTGGGTGACAGATGCATGGGTTGGGTCTGTGTCAGTGGAGTATGCAGCTGGGTGCAGGCATGGCTGCAGTGTAGCTCAGGTGGGAGGCAAGAGCCTTGGCTTAAAAGCAGCTCTCCAGGAAAGGAGCAGAGAGCTCTGTTGAGGTGTCTCAGCAGAGCAGAAACAGTTTCTGACTTTGCTCACAACAGTTTTTATCAGGCCTTGAGCAGGCAGTGACACACCCTGAAGGGGAGAGAGAGCAGGTACTGTCCCCTTCAGGCTTCAAGGGGTTAACTAGGGCTTCGTCCTGGATCCCAACCCTTTTCTTACTGCTCCGAATTTGAGAAAGATGTTTCTTTGGAAATCCTGCTCTAATGTGCCTTAGTTGCCTAACAACAGATTTTACCACTAGTTTAAGTTTGACTTGGAAAGCTCTTTGTATTTCACAGACTGCATCCAGGTGACTCACCAGTTCACTTATCCCTACCCTGCAGCAGATTCCAATGAGTTCCTCTCAACTTAAAACTCATGATGAACTTCATCTGCATCCTTACCTGAACCCTCATCCTGTGTCTAAGGCTTCAGCAGAAATGCAGCTTGGAAAGAAATAATTTCCCTCACATGGCCTCTAAGCTGGCTGACAAAGCAGGGGCTGCTCCACAATCCCAAATGCTCACTGAACTGCACATCTGTCCTGAGCACAGCCCTCATCCTCACTGTCAGGGTCAAGGAGGACCTGATGGGAACCCTTAGCATTACCTTGTACAGTCACAAAGCCCAGCCATTCTCCCTTCCTGCGGGAAAATACATAGCTTTCTCCTGCCCCAACTCACAGTTCAGGTGGCATCCCAGGCTACATAGCAGAGTGTGGGTGCATAGAAGCCCTGTTTCTGGCTCCTGTTCTCAAGATTCGTACCCCTCAAAGGTGGAGAGTGGACCTCAGATTGATGAACTCCTGTCTTTCAGAGTAGCTTCAGTATGACTCTAGGTAATGTTTGTATTTCTCAGTATGCATCCATCTGACTGAATAGCTGACATATGCCAGTGGGAGTATAAAAAACCCTCTGTGAGCAGTACAGCTGCCAGATGTGTAGTTTTGTCTGCTGTGATCCATATATATAACCATGACTTTCCTACCGAATGGCATATTGCCAGTGTATAGTCTGGCAGATGTGTAGCTGTGGTGTAAGCTCCATCCAGAGCAGCCCATTTTGGTGAGAGGCTTCAGGTTCAACAGCCTCTTTGCTGTGACTGTTACAGTGTGATGACTCATGTACCTGTTCAGAACTAAACTTATCTCTTCAAACCCACAACTTTTGGCTGCAGCAGCTGGGCTTGTTTTCCCCTTTCTCTCAGTACCATCCATGCTGTTGCTGCCAAGAGCAGAGACAGAGAAAGTACTGGTTTAGAATGGGAAATCACCAAGAGTCTTTTTTGTTGTTTCAGGAAAATGTTCAGTTTTCACTAATCAAAAAAAAAAAAAAATCTGGAAAATGAGAAAAATTTAGGAATCCTGTCAACTCCAGAAGACGATCTCTATAGGCAGTCTCAATCTTTCCTCAAAGCCTGCTATTGGACAAAGATGCAGATCAGCTCTGTGGGTTTGTAAAGGGGACTTTGACATGTTTCTGCATAATAAACAAGATAGTTGCTGACTCAGATGGCTGACATGAGCTTTTTAGCTCAAACATATTTATTCATAAATGTATTAGTCATTTATTTTCTATATTAATACAGTTTACGACATAAGTTTGGTTGTTTGAGAAGAAAAAAAACAGAATACCTCGCTGCAAAAGTTTCCTGTGGGACGAAATTAAGTGAAATACAAAAATGCATTTAAAATAAAATAAAGAAAAACAAAACCCCAAAAAACCCAAGAGCTTTGCCATCTTAGTCAGTCAACCTAAGACCTTCAGCATCCACATCAGCAGAGGCTTAATAGTCCACACTGCAAACTTACGTTGATCCAGGACTAAGAACCTGTTCATACTGCATTTCTAGTTTGGCTAATGAGCAGTTATGGCAAATTCATGATGTCATTTCACTTCCTTACCTCCTGATTTCATAGAAGGGATAAATTATCCTTCCTTTATAAAGCACTTCCAGAGTTACACATAAAAATCTCTAAACCCAGGAATTACAGCTATATTCCAAACAAACACGTATCTTTTGAACAGATGAAAGAGCTGACATCTTGTACTACACTCAGGCTAGGAACATAGAGGACTGATTGTTCTTTAGTTTTGTTCAGTGAGCAGGGATATTCCTCTGGCTCCTCATAGTCAACAGTCCACAGCACAGTTATTATTTACCCAGTGAATAGTATACACCAGTGCTTTCACTTTGCTGACTACCAAATTTTAACCTCCTGGACTCTGACGCAAGCATAGTCAGTTTTGAACTCCAAAGAGCTGGAAAAAGCTGTGTTTTCTGCAGGGATGCTGCTGGCAGATCTGTCCTCACAGTTTCTCTTAGTTTGTCTGAAAGATAGTTCTCACCATTTTCATGAAAAGGAGAGAAAAAATTGCTGCATAATCCCCAAAATGTAAGTTGTTACAACCTGAATAAGTGTTCTGAAATGGGTGATATGTATATGAACTTAGCTCGAAGCCCTGAAAGGCTTCAGGCAAGACTTCTTGGTAGCCTGAAGAGGCTTTGGCTTACAGGGTTTGTCACAGCAAAAGCCTCTCTGCCTTTTGGTGAGGCCTCACCTCATTGTTCAGGGACCAGACTCAGAGACCACTCTTCTCCATGGGTTCTGAGTGTGAGGATGGGCACTTGATGTCTTTTACAGAATCAACTGGATTGGAAATGACCTCAGAAATCATTGAGTCCAACCTATGACCAAACAGCACCATGTAAACTAGACCATGGCACTCAGTGCCACGGCCAGTCTTTCCTTAAACACCTCCAGGGACAGTGACTCCTCCACCTCCCTGAACAGTCCATTCCAGTGTCTAATCACCCTTTCTGTTAAGAAATTCTTTCCAATGTCCAACCTAAACCTCCCCTGGTACAGCTTAAGATTGTGTCCTTTTGTCCTGTCACTAGTTCCCTGGGAGAAGAGGCCGACCCCCTCCTGGCTACAACCCTCTTTTCTCCAGGCTAAATACCCCCAGCTCTCTCAGCCGCTTCTCCTCAGATCTGTGCTCCAGGCCCTTCAGCTGTTTCAAAGTATCTCCAAAGCAATGCGTGAAATTACAGGCAACAAATACTCCGGCTAAATAAAAAGAACGCGTAGCTGCCTGGGCCTCCTGAAGACCGCAGTCGCAGTCCAGCCGGGTGGCGTTCTTAAGGGATGATTCGGCACACGGCCGGTCTCCTCTCGGGGAACGCCACCCGCGTCGGCTCAGCACCCTGCGGGTAGGCCGTGCCCTCGGCGGGCACCGCCGGCTCCCCGGGCCAGGGGCGGGCGCGGGGGCGGGGGCGGCTCCTCCCCGCCTGGCCCGGCCCGGCCCGGCCTTGCCCGGCCCGCCGCGGCGCTGCCGCTTCCCCGCAGCTCCGGGCCCGGCTCCGCCATGGGCGCCGCGCGCCGCTCCCGGCTCCTGCCGCTCCTGCTGCCTCTCCTGCTGCCGCTCCTGGCGGCCTGGGGGCCCCGTGTCTCGGCGGGGCTCCGCGCCCCGCGGCGGCGCTGGCCGGTGCCCTACAGGTGAGTGACGCGGGCAGGGCCCGCCAGCGCCGCGCTTCTTCTGCTGGCTGTTTATTAGGCTGAAAGGGCCGTGAGATCTTCCCCTTTGTAGTCGCGGGGCGTCGGTCACTCGTGCGGTGTTTGGTGTGCTCGGCTCGCTGAGTCCCACGCAAGGCCGAGGGCTGAGCTTCGCTCCCTCAGCCTCGAGAGGGATTGCTGCCCCGGGAATGGCTGCGCGCCCTTTAAACGCCTTTAATTCCCGCAGGAAACTTGCGGTGGGGAAAACAGGGTACGCTTTATTTTATTTTTAAAAAATTTAAGTCTGCGTCATGCTTCTGCCCGTGACGAATGAAATGGTACAAAATCCCGTTCGCTGCTCCAAAGCTGCCTGAGCTCCAGGAGAAGTCCTGGTGGTGTTGGGGACAGCAGGAGAGTGCACGTTGTGGTATTTTACTGGCAAAAGTAGCGACAGCTCTGGCTGTGCTGAGGAAATGAGCCCCTTCAGGAGAAGGGCTACCCTTGCCATGTGTATTTTATGCGGGTTTGCTGTATTAAAAGGAGGTGTTGTCAATGTTTAACTGCTGTCTAATGCACATCTGAAATTTTGAAAGCCTGTTGCGTAATTCCTAGCAGTTAAATTTGCATCAGGTGATGCCTGAAGGAGCTGATCTTGCGGTCACGAGTTGTTCAGATTTTCGAGTAAGTTCTTGAGTTGCAAGGCTGGGTCTTGGGATGGTCAAAATTGAAGTATAGGCCTCTTAGTGTGAAGTGCTCAGAAATGTGGGATTTTAATGCATGCTTAACATACTCATTACCTTCTTGTCACATGCAGGGTGCAGTGAGGGGAAATTGCATCCTACATTTTCAGTCTAGAAACAGGACTTAAATGTATGGTTGGCATAAGTCTTTGTTTTCCTTGTGTTCTTTTCCCAGCCATACTCTTTAGGATTTTTTTTCCTCCCTCTCCCCTTCCCACTTGGACAAAACAAAGGCAGACGTGCTGAAGTTCCCAGCAAGCTTGGAGAAGAAGTCAACAGGGAAGAGCTGCACTGTATCAGTGCTGCTGACCTTATTATGGCTCAGGAAGTCCCTTGTCCTTGAGTCATCTCATGGCTGGGGTATTTATGTCATTCAGTAGCCCTGGGCAACTGAGTATGTTAGACTCTCAGGCAAACTTCACAAGATCTGGACAAGCTGTGTATGCCAATTTGTCTTATAACAGGCATATAGGAACCTTGTTTTAAGTGAAATATAGCGAGTGACTCCGAAGGAAACTGGAAAAGGAAGACTTGTGAGAAAAGTTCTTTGCTGTTTGTTTATAGTATGATAATAAGCAGATTTGGTCTTTGTTTTTTGCGGTTTAATAAGAATGAAATGGAAACAGTGATCCTAGCTAGGTTCTTAGACCTCTTTATCTAAATTAACATAGAGCAATTAAATTTTTTTTCTGATATTGGCAATATACTAGAGTAAAAATATCTTCATCTGAAGACCTTTTACAGTAGAAGAGGAAGAACAAACTGGTCAGTCCTTGTATAGACAAACTGTTAGGAGAATGCTTCTCAGGGAGATCTCAAACTATACTTTGTCCAGCATCTATGTCTGCGTGATTTTGTATGTCACCCTTTGTAATCTGCATCGTTATCAGTACTGTGAACAACATGACTTGCATTCTTGAGCCTTAAATCCCGAGGTCCTGTTTCTGCAGGTGTGCACCTCAGCAGCCTTTCAAACTTGTGTACTCCAAGTGTTGCAGTGCCTGGATCACAGAATCAGCCTCTGGGGGTGGCTGGGCATTTAACCTCTCCCACTTGGGTCCTTAGGAAGGCATGAGAGTTCCTCCAGCTGCGAAGTGGTGCTTATCATTCTGTGTGCTTCTCTTTCTCAACACAGGCGCTTTGATTACCGTCCAAAAACTGATCCTTACTGCCAAGCTCGGTACACCTTCTGTCCCACTGGCTCTGCCATTCCAGTTATGAAAGAAGAGGATGTCATTGAAGTGTATCGATTACAGGCTCCAGTATGGGAATTCAAGTATGGAGACCTACTAGGACACTTGGTAAGGTGATGTTTTTAACAAAGTTGTAGTGGTAAATTCAGCTGAATTCAACAGCAGTTGTCAAGAATGGGAGCTGTAAGGTTGGGATATGCCTGTATAGAAGAGTATTAGAGCACACAAGCTAGGCTAGCTATAGGAAAGATACTCAAAGAGCACTAAGTTTCAAACAAACTGTACAGGATTTAGCTCATCTAAAGAAAAGAGCACGAACAGCACTGTTGGTGGGTTTGAATGTGTTCCTCCATATAGCTGCGCATTGAGAGTGTTTTGTATACACACACCATTATGTTTTGGGTGTCTTTTCTTCTGTGCTAGCACTGGATCAAGAAAATACTTTTATTTATTTTCCTATATCAGATGAATTAGTTCCTTAGTGTATTAACTTTTCTATTGTTAAAAACCTTGTATTTGCTTGAACATTGATATCTATCAGGAGAGGACAGCCAGCTGGTCAGAATGATGGATCATGAGGAGCTGATGGCTTTTACAGTTCGTTCTTGAATGTAATGACCAGTATGGAATCGAAGTCTCTGTTCATGGAGTCATGCAAATATGAAAGAATCTCAACTTTAGCAATACTTATAGCTATAGCAGTAGCAAATTTAAACTTCAAAGCATGATTCCTAATGAATAAAGAAATTTTAGTGAACATGATATAGCAGCATCAAAACCAAGCACATAGAGTCAAAAATGGAAATAGATTCAAATATTGTTGCTTTAGTTGTTAATTAAGGTTGAATGTATGTTTTTACTATGCCGCTTTTAAAAGAAATATTTACCTCATTCCTTTTATGGCTTTCCTTACCAAGATCTGTTTTTGGTAACTTGGTTCTGCTACTCACTACTCTGATGCCCCCTGTGAGGTTAAGGATTCAAAAGTCAGCTTGAGTTTTGATGATGAGCTCCCACTGAGTAGCTGCCTCTAAGTGACAGAATTTACAATGGATGGATAGATAACCTCTGAGACAGCATGATAAAAGTATGAGTGTGATTCAGTCTAGTGTGTTGTGCATCAGTGTGACTGAATCCAAGATGTTACAGGAACTCCTTCCCCTCCTATCACCCAGTTACAGAACAACTCCCAACATCTTACCTTCTGTACAGACCAAGCTGAAGTTATGATGATGTTAAAGTTTTGGTTTTTTAGTTGCTTGGTTTTTCTTTTTCTTTTCCCAGAAAATTATGCATGATGCTGTGGGTTTCAGGAGCTCTCTAACGGGCAAAAACTACACAATGGAGTGGTATGAGCTCTTCCAACTTGGGAACTGCACATTTCCACATCTGCGGCCTGGCATAGATGCACCGTTCTGGTGTAACCAGGGAGCTGCCTGCTTTTATGAAGGAATAGACGATGCGCACTGGAAGGAAAATGGAACTTTAGTTCTCGTGACCACAATATCAGGTAGATTTCAGATGCTTTGGATAATGTTAATACAAAATACAGAATCAGTCTTGTCTTTATGGAAAGCACTGTCTTTTAATTTATGTTCTGTAGGGTATTTGTAGTGTTAGTCACTGATGCTAATTTCAGACGCTCTCTTCAATGCAGAAAGTAGCATGAGGCTGCTGCCTTTTGAACAACACACTGAAGAGTTGTTAAATGAGAGTCATTTGGTGTTGCTGTACAAAAACACTTGAGTCTCTTGAGTGTAAAAATAGCAAAAGAGCTTATACAGAGCCATTATGGACTCTTCACGTGGCTTCACCGAAACAAAAGCTTGTATTGTGAAGTGGCAGATGACTGCTGAGATAGAAAAACTTGAAAATATGTTCATTACTGAGCAAACAAATAACACATATTTAGAAACAGTCTCAAAGATAAAAAAATATTAATCTCTATTTCTGTCTTGCCCATTATCTGTCATAAAAACTGTGGAAATGTCCCCAGTAATAGGTCTCCGTCATACACAGTAGAACAAACCGATGACTTACACCTGTAAATACATGGGTGATCACCAGAATAGCTTCCTGGTATATACTGAACATCGCAATCCTAAAATGAAAAGATAATTTAAATAAATCTGATTGATTGCTCTAGTAATAGAGTGAATGACTTAGAAAAGAAGTTCACTGAGGACTTGGAGAGTTGCGTTTTTTGTGACCAAAACCACTTACTCTCTGAAGTTAGTGTAGTGTACAAGGCACTGTAGTGGAGAGTCAGCTTACAGGTAGTGTGATGTGGTGCTTCATGTGTGCCTACTTCCGCTCTTAGCAACTTTGCTGGCTGCAGTCTCCAGGTAATCTGTCCAGTTTGTTAAGAAATTCTAGGCAGTTCTGTAAGCAGTGAAGTGGAGCTGCTTTCCTGTGAGTTTATAATTCATGACTGAAGTCTTTGATGCCTGATACAATTGGATTCTTTTGTACGAATACAAAGTTAAATATTTTCATACAGTTGTAGAACTTGTAATGGTTCCTGCCTGAGTGGATTATTTGATGTCTAAGAAAGGTGAAGTTATGCTGGTTCCTTTGGAGGCATTGTTACAGTCTTCTTTGCTTCTCTCACTTCCCATTTCCAAGAAACTTTTAGGGAGGTAGGATATTGGAGGGCTTTGAATTGTCTGAATTTGACTAGGAATCTGAAAGTTTCTGTGGAAGAGGGTGAATGGAGGCAAGCACAGATGGACAGCATCATAAGCTGAAGTTGCTTCCTTCAGAGAGCATCCCATCTCATGGGATAGAGCTTTAGTGTGTGAAATGGCTGGATCCTCTTAGCCTTTGTGAGATTCTGTAGAACTGTTAGTCATCATTGTCAGACACCACAGTGAAGCCATCTCATTTCCTTTTAAAGCCCATCAGAAAGGTTAATGTTACTTAGGAGTATGTTTCTTCTGTGGAAATAGGGCAGGAATATCCAAAGTTTGATTTTTGATTGTCTAGGTATCTTCCAACATACCATCAATGGAGCCACGCATTAACCTGTAATACTTGTGATTAATTTGCAGTGTTAAGGCCAGAACTTCATATTATGTCCATCTCAGTCTTGTTAGGAGAAACTAATCCTTTTCAGTAACATGCCTTACAGAACACGCAGTAGGAAGCTAATAGGGTAGGAATTAGAGAAGATAAGGGAAACTTCAAACCCATCTACAAGTGTATAAGTACCATTCTTGATACAGATTTAATGACTTACTGTTTTATTAAATCAAGTCACAGGCAATTAAAAAATAAAGTATCTAATCCTTCCACTAAGCAGAGTGATTGTTACATTTACCATGAAGTCCAAAAGCTCTGAAGGGGGGAGTGAAGAGCAGTTAGAATGGGGTAGCCTGGGAGGCGAATGTCCAGAGCTTTAGTTACTCAGAGGTAGTAGCTACCAGAGAGACAAGCTGAGCTAGGGATGTCTTCTTCATTTCATTTGTGAAATCACCATCACCTAAATACTCCAAACTCATATTCTAAATTAAAAAAAAATAATCCTCAAGGTCTTTTAAGTTTACTGGTCTTCACATCCCACTCATCATTTGGCTCAATTCAGCTTTGCTGGCTGAGGAGCTGCTAAAACAGCAGGGTGTCTTAGTCCAAGGTTTCTTTTGTGAAGAGACATGAAAATTTCTGCCCTGAAATGCTGAATTTAGTTTAAACTTGAAAAAGTACATTAAAACCTGTTGCTCTGGTGAGCACCTTGTCAGCATTTCTTGTATATTTTACTGCCTACCCTGTTTGCCTGCACGGATAAAAGAAAATGAGAAGTGTCGTGGTTCTCGGATGTTTGGATGTTTCTGCCATAGAAGGAGGAAAAGGTCCAGAAGAAGGAATTAGTTTTAAATAACTTGCATGTAAGTGTAGTTTATTCAGTGGAGTATCACTTCTCCCTCTAACTTAAGCCTTGTGCCCGTGTATGGTTAGGTAATGCTGAAGGTAAACTTTTGCAGGGGAGGGAGGTGAACCTGGAAATAGATGGAAAATATTCCGAGTTACCTTGTCTCTGTAATGCTTATTTTCATCTCTTACAGGAACCATGTTTAATAAAATGGCAGAATGGGTAAAATATGACAATGAGACTGGCATTTACTACGAGACCTGGACAGTTCGAGCAAGTCCTGACAAACAATCAACAGTATGGTTTGACTCTTATGAGTGCTCCAAGTTTATACTGAGAACCTACCAGAAGCTGGCTGACTTAGGAGCTGTATTTAAGAAGATACAAACAAACTATACAAGCATAATTTTGTTCAGTGGAGAACCTGTTTATTTGGGAAATGAAACATCTATTTTTGGACCACTGGGAAACAAGACATTGGCAGCAGCTATAAGAGACTTTTACAATCCATTTAAACCTCATCAGACAGTCAGAGAGTTTTTTGTGGATCTTTTAAGAATAATTGATCGTGTCATCTTGAATCATCAGTTTTACCTCTTCTACAACTTAGAATACTGGTTTTTACCTATGAAGTTTCCTTATCTCAAAATAATTTATGAAGAGGTCCCTTTACCTGTTGGAAGCAAAGAGTCCTTTGGTGTATAGCTGTTTGCTGAAGAACCAAACTTGCCCTTATGTCAGATTTGGAGCATTACCATGATGGTGTTAAAGGGTCATATATTTCACTGCTAACTGTAAAAGTCGTGTTGGGAAGGCTTTGCTAGACCACATGAAAGACTATGCTTTTTTTTTGTTATTACCTGTATAACACATGAATGCTTCAGCATCTATGACTTGGTCAGCTTCTGTGTAACCATGGCCACCTGCTGAGGCTCCTCTGGCTGAGCTCGGCAGTGCCAGAGGGGGAGTGGGGAGGCAGCAGCCTGCTCTGGTCTCAGGTGCTCTCCACATGCACGGCCGTGCCGTAGCAGGTAGCACCTGACCACCTACAGAGGTGGGACACAGCATTACAAGGACTAAACTGGCTCATCTGTGTCTTGGAACTAAAAAAACCTGAGTGTCTTCATGTGTCCAGTTCCTTCAACATGTGCCTTAGATTGGTGGTTCTGTAGTTCTTTGGTTTGTAAACTGGGACCTATGAACTGTTCTCCAGTGTTCATCAGGGGAGGGGGGGGAGAGGGGCAGTGAATCTACTAGAAGATGGCATGGGTGGTATCTTTTAACCACTTTGCTTCCTTCACCTATACTGTAAACACAATACAGATGGCTCTTCCTCAGCTTTGTGTGTTCTGTAGCACAGGTGAAAAACCAAAGTGCCTCTTTTGATGCCAAGACTGATGCGTAACTGCAGCGTTCCAGCAGTCTCCTGCCTTAAAGTACACTTGAAGCTTCAGTTAGGTCAGTGTCATAGAACTCATGGGTGTATTCCTTTCAGATTTCTTTAACAAGCATAGAACCCGTAATATGAAAGAAGCCACGAGAGTTTGTGGGGTGTTTGTTAATGTTGGTGTTAAAAATCTGTGCTTTTTAGCTCTTGCTGGCAGTGATGCTTGCAGTAGTGGTGCTGTGCCAGCTGCACAACCCTTGAGTCCTGTTCCAGGTTTACCCTAGAGCAGCTCAGCAACTAGTTAGTTCCCTTTAAACCCAAGTGACCAAAGCCAAGGAAACACTGGCTTTCTGTAAACCACCGAGGTGCCTGCACACCTGCAGCAACATAATCATCTCCAAGTGTCGGCAGCTCGCTCTGGTGTTTTTTTTTTAAACTAGCTGCAGAATGAATGGCCCTCTTTCAGAGGTTATCGCTGTCTTCATGGCCAAGCAGGAACACAGAAACCCAACTCTGCAGTTTCATTTGGCTTGAGCCAAGCGTGCTGCAGCCAAAGAGGGGCGTACACAGTGATTTGATTCAAATCATAGGAATGGCAGAAAATTAATTAACCTTGTATTTAGAAAGTCACTAAAACTGATCAGTTGAATGGCACTATTGTGTAAGGGGATGAGCATGAGAGGTAGTGTGAGAGTAAGGAGAGGATGAGAGCACCTCTGTTCATGGAAAAGCTGCTAATTACTTCCACTGTTAAGTGAAACTTCATCTTCTGCCTCAGATTGAAAGACTTTGCTCTTTTTAGTCACAAACCCTCATGGCTGAACTGAGCTTCGGATTTAGATTATTGTCATGGTTTCACTCCAACCATCACCCAAGCACCACACAGCACCACCAGGAAAGTAATCCAGAAGGCACTAGGAAAGTTAAAAAGGGTGCAGCAAACCTGTGTACTGAAGTTAGATTCTCGTTGATGACTCATTTTTATGACTTTGAAACCCTCAATGTTGTTGAACGTATATTTGTCTTCCCCAGAAAAAGCCTCAACCTCAAAAACCAGTGTCTGAAGATCTGAGGGGGGAAACTGAATCGCAGAACCAAGCCAGTAAAAGTCCCAAAGCTTCTCTAACATTTCTAAAAAGCAGGAGAACTTTTGTGGGCTGAAGTAGATGCTGTGGCAGGGTAGGTTATGCTCCCTCACAGCAGAGTAGTGGTCTCTGCTTAGCCTGACAGTGCTGTTTATTCACTGAACAGAGAGACACTTCTGTGTCTCTATTCAGGACCTAAGGAGCCTACACACCAGTCATTCTTTTCCCCTACTAGCTGGAGTATTTTGTGATGCATACAAGAGCCTTACAGAACTGCAAACACCAACTCCTGAAATACACAGCTAATGGTAGCTGAATCATGTAGCTTCTAACAGTCAAAAAATGGGTGTTTGTGAACCAGTAATAGAGAGCTTAGTCAACAGAACTGACTGGTTGCAGAGGTAAAAACCTCATTCTTAAGGAACTTGGCAAAAAAAAGTTTGACCACACACATGAAAAATAATTGCATCTTTCACACAAATGTAACTTCATGGTTCTATCAGTAAAAGTGTATAACATCCTGAGCTTTTTGTACTTTAATATCAGCCCTTCTCACTTTTCCTATTTCATCTGTACAAACTGCTTAATTTAACATGTTTTACTCCTGCCCTACTACTTGGGTAGTAGGTAGCAGTGGTACTAGGAGTTGATTCGAGAAAATTATATCCTAGCATGTATTCGTTGCAAGTTAGACAACAGTAAATTTCTGGCAACAAAGATGAAGACAACAGGACAGGTATTTGTCAAGGATACTGCATCCCTTGGTGGCAGAAGCAGCAAGAAGCAGCTGTTTGGGGTGAAATCTGGGTGCATTCAGCAACAGATCACACTGCCAGTCACTTGAGGATTCTTCCACACAGCCATGTGTGTATTCCAAGTCTGTTTCACACTTGGAATTCCACCTTCAGTTTAAAGGTACCAATTATCAATGTAGGAGTTGCCCTTTATTTAGCATACATGAGTTCCTTCTGAGGTAAGTATTTATTCCTGCTGGGCACAGAGTTGGAGAGAGAGCCTCTCAACTGGGGGTGGTTTGTGAAAGTTAATTGTTCAGACTGAATGCAGAGCTGGGTAGGAATAAGCTCCACCAGCACAAACTGCAGTCCTGGAAGAGGGTGCAGCTGCTGAACAATTACTGCACCAGAATTAGCTGAAGTTGTTGGGTGCAGTGCTCTTTTGTAGGCAGAATCCAGAATCCTTGAGTTAGCCTTCAGAATTAGATCCAGAGGAACACAGAGCTGATGAATAGGCTACTTCTGCAAAGTTTACACAAGCCCAGAACAGATCCATAAAGACTACACTTTTGTCACTTAAAAAGCAAGTGTTAGATGTCACAAACAGCTCCTGTGCACCTGATGATCTGTTGTTGTCACTGAAAATCACCTGTTGACCTCAAGCATTTGAGATGGACAGCCTCCTCCTGAAATCAGAGGAGCAGAACTAGTAGGATCACACCTGGCATCTCACAGCCAGGTGGTACTCATAGTACTCGCCCAACAGTAGGAACCCGGGGACTGTCCTTACTGCCAGGCTCAAGGATAAGCACCTACTTTCTCCAGTGGCTGTGTCGTTGAGTCTTTACTCATGCTTTTTTTTTACTAGGGGCACTTTGCTCTTTTTAGTCACAAATCCTCATGGCTGAACTGAGCTTCGGATTTAGATTATTGTCATGGTTTCACTCCAACCATCACCCAAGCACCACACAGCACCACCAGGAAAGTAATCCAGAAGGCACTAGGAAAGTTAAAAAGGGTGCAGCAAACCTGTGTACTGAAGTTAGATTCTCGTTGATGACTCATTTTTATGACTTTGAAACCCTCAATGTTGTTGAACGTATATTTGTCTTCCCCAGAAAAAGCCTCAACCTCAAAAACCAGTGTCTGAAGATCTGAGGGGGGAAACTGAATCGCAGAACCAAGCCAGTAAAAGTCCCAAAGCTTCTCTAACATTTCTAAAAAGCAGGAGAACTTTTGTGGGCTGAAGTAGATGCTGTGGCAGGGTAGGTTATGCTCCCTCACAGCAGAGTAGTGGTCTCTGCTTAGCCTGACAGTGCTGTTTATTCACTGAACAGAGAGACACTTCTGTGTCTCTGTTCAGGACCTAAGGAGCCTACACACCAAAGTCATTCTTTTCCCCTACTAGCTGGAGTATTTTGTGATGCATACAAGAGCCTTACAGAACTGCAAACACCAACTCCTGAAATACACAGCTAATGGTAGCTGAATCATGTAGCTTCTAACAGTCAAAAAATGGGTGTTTGTGAACCAGTAATAGAGAGCTTAGTCAACAGAACTGACTGGTTGCAGAGGTAAAAACCTCATTCTTAAGGAACTTGGCAAAAATAGTTTGACCACACACATGAAAAATAATTGCATCTTTCACACAAATGTAACTTCATGGTTCTATCAGTAAAAGTGTATAACATCCTGAGCTTTTTGTACTTTAATATCAGCCCTTCTCACTTTTCCTATTTCATCTGTACAAACTGCTTAATTTAACATGTTTTACTCCTGCCCTACTACTTGGGTAGTAGGTAGCAGTGGTACTAGGAGTTGATTCGAGAAAATTATATCCTAGCATGTATTCGTTGCAAGTTAGACAACAGTAAATTTCTGGCAACAAAGACGAAGACAACAGGACAGGTATTTGTCAAGGATACTGCATCCCTTGGTGGCAGAAGCAGCAAGAAGCAGCTGTTTGGGGTGAACGCTGGGTGCATTCAGCAACAGATCACACTGCCAGTCACTTGAGGATTCTTCCACACAGCCATGTGTGTATTCCAAGTCTGTTTCACACTTGGAATTCCACCTTCAGTTTAAAGGTACCAATTATCAATGTAGGAGTTGCCCTTTATTTAGCATACATGAGTTCCTTCTGAGGTAAGTATTTATTCCTGCTGGGCACAGAGTTGGAGAGAGAGCCTCTCAACTGGGGGTGGTTTGTGAAAGTTAATTGTTCAGACTGAATGCAGAGCTGGGTAGGAATAAGCTCCACCAGCACAAACTGCAGTCCTGGAAGAGGTGCAGCTGCTGAACAATTACTGCACCAGAATTAGCTGAAGTTGTTGGGTGCAGTGCTCTTTTGTAGGCAGAATCCAGAATCCTTGAGTTAGCCTTCAGAATTAGATCCAGAGGAACACAGAGCTGATGAATAGGCTACTTCTGCAAAGTTTACACAAGCCCAGAACAGATCCATAAAGACTACACTTTTGTCACTTAAAAAGCAAGTGTTAGATGTCACAAACAGCTCCTGTGCACCTGATGATCTGTTGTTGTCACTGAAAATCACCTGTTGACCTCAAGCATTTGAGATGGACAGCCTCCTCCTGAAATCAGAGGAGCAGAACTAGTAGGATCACACCTGGCATCTCACAGCCAGGTGGTACTCATAGTACTCGCCCAACAGTAGGAACCCGGGGACTGTCCTTACTGCCAGGCTCCAGGATAAGCACCTGCTTTCTCCAGTGGCTGTGTCGTTGAGTCTTTACTCATGCTTTTTTTTTTACTAGGGGCATTGCCTCACTTAAAGGTAGTGAAAACTCATCCTCTTCCCCACATTGCAAGTGTTACTCCACCTTATAATACAGGCAGTTCTGAGAGTCAGGTTACAAAAAACATGGAGCTCTTTTACTTTTACGGACTAAATATATTGACACCTTTTATACAAATAAAAGCAAATTATAGTATTACATTAATTTAACAAATTCTAATACAAAACCCGCGTATTTAATAAAATGCAAGTTTTAAATCAAAGCTCTACAGAAACATCTAACTCCTCTATAAAGATGTCCAGTCCGCTGAGCATTGTTTGCTCAAAAAATAGTTATGAACTTAAATACACTCATAAGTGTATTATGCTGAGCTAT